CCTTGGTGCGGAGGCTGGAGCGCAGCGCGGCCACCAGCGTCTCCTTGTGCCGCAGCTCCTTGCGCAGCTCCAGGTTGTCCTTCTCCTTCTCCTGCAGCTGCGCCTCCATTGCCCGGCACTTCTCCTCCAGCTCCCGGTCCAGGACGTCTGTGGGGACAAGGCACGGATGGGTCAGGGCCACAGCCGTGGGCGGGTCCCCGCCTGCTGTGACAGCACGTGGAGGTGACTGCCAGCTGCCACAGGGTGTTGCCATGTTCCAGCAGCGCCACTGGGGCTGCTCAGGCACTTCTGGGAGCTCCAGGACTCCCCGAGAGCTGCTCTGAGCTGCGGTGCTCCATGTCCAACCGCCAAGCCCAGAGGGGAACCAGGGGCTGTTCTGCAGAGGATGTGTCTGTCTTGGAACCTGCTGCCCCTGCCCTGCTGCAGCCTCCTGCTGCAGTTTTAACATTCCTGTAGGTAACCAGTGTTTCACTCTACGAGTGACTTTGCAGGTGAGCACAGGGGAGTGTATCTGGGGCTGGGAGAGAAGAGGGAACAGTGGCAGTGAAAATACCAGCCCAACTTCAGAGGGGTCCTCGACCTCATGCCCCAAGACCCCATGGCCTGATGAGAGAATGGTGACACTGACCTAGGACTGTGGAGGAAGGAACCCCAGCCCGGGCAGGAGGAGCAGGCTCAGGGGAGCCCATCCTGGGGGCAGGGCAGCCAGGCAGCTCCCCACGCTGTCACCTCTGCTTACGCCTGACCTGTGCATCGCTCTGCTCCTGGCAGCAGCCGATTGCCAGCGACCGGGTGAGGACGGGACTTGTTAAAACAGAAGCTCTGCCTTGAGCAGCAGGTTGCCCATGGTTCCCACCACCCTCCCTGCCCTTCCCACGCCTCAGTAGGTGATGGATGCCCTCCCTGCCCCAGCCCTTCTGAGTCACAACAGAGGAACCCAAAGAAGTGACTTCACATGGGCCCTTGCACACTGCTCCTGCACATCCTGCACCACTCTGGCCAGCCCACATGGGCTCCATCACCCATCCACCCACCCACTCATCCAACTGGCCATCCATCCTTCCCCTATCCCACCTGCCCTCCGTGGGTTGTGGCCTTGCACTTGGGACAGCAAAACTATCTTGGAGGTGTTGCATCAGGTAGGATGCTGTGAAAGAGGCAGGAGGAGACTGGAGCGTGTCTGGCAGCCAGATTTCACCTCTCCACTGAACTCTGTATCCCACAGGCAGGAGGGGGTGGGGGGCAGCAGCTCCAAGTGCTTTTGTCCTCATCCAGAAAGTGCTGTCATCTCCAAGAGGAAAGGTGTGCTGCCCACATGGGGCTTTCATGGGACCATGGGGACATGGCCCAGGCACAGATTTCCAACTGCAGCCACTGTGACTGGTGGCATTCCCCACTCTGGGAAGTGTCTGGGGAATGGAAGCTGCTGGGGAGAGAGTTCACCACCTGGCAGTGAAGGAGCCGAGCTCAGCAGGTAGTGGGAGGGCACGGGGGGCCCTGGGGACCCTCCTGACCCAGCCAGGGCTGCACCCAGCCCTGGTGGGGCGCAGGGAGGGGAGAGGCTGCTTGCCCCGGGGCGGGCACCCGCCTGCTGCACCCAGCCTGCCCAGGCCTGCTCTGTGTTGGTACAGGACAATCTGCAACCCTTAGGGCTCCCCAGGGTCTTCTGCAGAGGAAAACTGCTGGCTGATGAGATCGCAGGGAGGCAGTTACATACAGTCATTATTACATGCATGGCATTTGAAGAGCAATCATTTGATGGCTCCTTCAGCTACGCGTGGTTGCCCCATAATAGTGGCAAATGTGATCCTGCTCTTCACAGGCTGTGAAAAGGCCACGGGTGGGCAGAGACCTGCGGGGGGGCTGCCTGCCAGGGATGCACCGGGTGGGCTGGGTGCCAGGCCAGAGCAGAGCCCCCCCGCGTGGGGAAGGACCTCGGGCTTGGCAGGAGGAGGGGGGGAGGGGGGACTGGG